GAGTTAGTGAGTTTAACTCAGAGTTAGTCTTAACTCAGGGTTAAAGTTAATCCACGACTGTGGAACGTGGTCCTGTACTGTACTACAATTCCGAAACGTGTCTGGTCCCAAGGGTTTCGGATAATAGATTGTGTACTGTATTAATGTTTAATCTAAAAAAAAATAGTGGAAAGCTGAAATTCCCATTGCTTTTCAATTAGCATTTTGGTTCTTGTTCAGGTGTGACAAATTCAAAAAAGCATTGAGTAACCTGATACGATGTAATTTAGCCCCTGCATTGCATGTACCTATCAATGTGTAAATACATATTTGTATGGACATTATGAAAGATTGATCGCAATTTTATTATATCATAGATTTGAGTCATGCTACTGGAATCAATACCTATGACATCGTGAGCACATTCCAAGCTCTGGGTATGCTGAAGTATTGGAAAGGCAAACATCTGGTTCTTAAGCGACAGGTCAGTGGATTGATAATGTATATTGATAAAATTTGTACTTTACACTCAAGACCTCGACTCATGCACTCGATAACATGCTATAAACAGGCAAATTGAACTGTTCAAGAAACTGTCCAATGGAATGCAATGAAAATAAATTACATATTTGTTAAAAGTCAATATGCTATGTTAATTCATCTTTAAATCAGCTAATTGGGGTAGAGGTAAATAGCTGTAGGTCGGATAATATCAGGAGTCTATTGATTTAATCCAAAGGCTGCTGATAGCATTTCTGCTGGTGCTGGATTCTTAACTGATCACTTGTAATAAATAAGCCAAAGCACCCATGTATAACACATGATCACAGGCAGTGTTATAGAGAAAAGGGGGGTAGGAAAGTGAGGGAGAGATATGGAGAATAAGAGACAGGGAGAATGGGCAAAAAGAGAGAGAGGGGGCAAGGGAGGGAGGGACCAAGCGAGCAATAATGAGGTCACTAAAGAGAAATTCCATGAACTATTCGAGACTTATGATTTGTTATCTGAAAATAAGAAGCCAGACTATTTACATTGACATGCTGTAGATGATGTAATATTTGTGGCAATTTCTGCTCATTTCAGGATCTCATTGATGATCATATTGCAAAGCGAGCCAAGAGAGGACCTGACCACAAAGTAATTGATGAAAATAGCCTCAAGTGGCGTCCCCCTGTGCAAGTGGACACCCGATAAATAAATTAAGCTTGCTTAACTATATAATGTACAGATGGTAAAACAATCTAACCATTTTTAACTTGTAAATAGCAGGAGGAGTAAAGTGGGTGCTTAATCTCTTACAAAAACCTTCATAATTTTGATAGCAATGACTGTGTAATATTTGTAGTGCAATATACAGTGATTAGACAGGTGAAGAATAAGAAATACTTATTAAACTCACATAATGCGTAAAAAACCACAATGCTCGAAGCATTCTGAACATGTTCAGTGTTGGCAAGACTTTTGTAATACTATTATTGTACACCTATTATGGTGTGTGTTTCTAACTTCAAATTGGGAATGTAGTCTCGGAAAAATTCATGGGCCCTGGTGATCTGTGTATTGACAATTTTTTAATGAAATACAAGACACAAGTTGCTCCCGCAGAAGTGAGACTTGGTTAAAATAAAATCGTAATAGTGGTGTGTGTAGAGTCCGTTATAGACGTAGTGCATGTCTACAAGGAACATAAATTGATGTATGTAATGCTGTAAAACTTGCAGTGGTAATAATCTACCTATAATTGTGTAACGGTATATGTATTATAGTTTTCATATAATGACTTGCAGTCAGTGAAATAGGTGTAAATGACTGACTAATTAGTTTTATTTTTTTATTTAAGCAAAGTTTTGTGGTTGTCATAGACTAGTATGTACTTCTAATACAACTATTTCTTCTACCAACACCAATCAAAATTGAATTTGTAAGTAGAAATGACTTGGCACGTATTTTTCATGCAGCACTAATTTAGATAGTGACGGGTCATTTAATTAGGATTATGACAAATTCGTTGTTTTTTTATTTCACAATACTTCCATGTTTGGAGGCATAATGCAGAAAGCTCATCTGATATTAACTTACATATAAGTATGAAATAAGTTTACAAATTCAATAAGGGCATTTGTTTTACACTATCAAGTTATTGCTGTCGTTATTTTAATAGCTTCCTTATTGTACAGTGTGTGTGTGTGGTGGGTGGTGCGTGCGTGTACGTGCGTGCGCGCGCGCGTGTGCGTGTGTGTGTGTGTGTGTGTGTAGATGTTATATCCATAAGACGTCACTGCCTTTGTAAATTCTGTCAATTTGGATTGAAACGAATTAAAATAATAAATTCCAATAAATTTCATGATCTTTCAAAGGTTTTGTTGCCACATGTCATTGATACATAATTTAAGGATAGAAAGATGTTCAATAATGATGCATAGAAATTTAAAAAATAATGTAATCGAATCCACGTCGGATATAGCGATCAAGCATAGCTATAAGCTATATACGTACGCGTATATCTAATTCATATAACTATTAATAACGTATAGTGTATATTTTACTGCAATTCACGCGTCACGCCTCTGTACAAAGTACACCATGTTGGTCATTTACCAATCTCAGATTTCCGAAACAGTGCTATGTGTTCAGAGGGCATTTCAATAAGGGCATTTGTTTTACACTATCAAGTTATTGCTGTCGTTATTTTAATAGTTTCCTTATTGTACAGTGTGTGTGGTGGGGGGGGTGCGTGTGCGTGCGTGCGCGCGCGCGTGTGCGTGTGTGTGTAGATGTTATATCCATAAGACGTTACTGCCTTTGTAAATTCTGTCAATTTGGATTGAAACGAATTAAAATAATAAATTCCAATAAATTTCAAGATCTTTCAAAGGTTTTGTTGCCACATGTCATTGATACATAATTTAATGATAGAAAGATGTTCAATAATGATGCATAGAAATTTAAAAAATAATGTAATCGAATCCATGTCGGATATAGCGATTAAGCATAGCTATAAGCTATATATACGTACGCGTATATCTAATTCATATAACTATTAATAACGTATAGTGTATATTTTACTGCAATTCATGCGTCACGCCTCTGTACAAAGTACACCATGTTGGTCATTTACCAATCTCAGATTTCCGAAACAGTGCTATGTGTTCAGAGGGCATTTCAATAAGGGCATTTGTTTTACACTATCAAGTTATTTCTGTCGTTATTTTAATAGCTTCCTTATTGTACAGTGTGTGCGTGCGTGTACGTGCGTGTGCGCGCGCGCGTGTGCGTGTGTGTGTGTGCATGTGTGTAGATGTTATATCCATAAGACGTCACTGCCTTTGTAAATTCTGTCAATTTGGATTGAAACGAATTAAAATAATAAATTCCAATAAATTTCAAGATCTTTCAAAGGTTTTGTTGCCACATGTCATTGATACATAATTTAAGGATAGAAATTAAGATGTTCAATAATGATGCATAGAAATTTAAAAAATAATGTAATCGAATCCACGTCGGATATAGCGATCAAGCATAGCTATAAGCTATATACGTACGCGTATATCTAATTCATATAACTATTAATAACGTCAAGAGTAGATAATAACACAAGTAGATAATAAGACAATTGTGTTATTATCTACTCTTGATAACGTATAGTGTATATTTTACTGCAATTCACGCGTCACGCCTCTGTACAAAGTACACCATATGGTAATTTACCAATCTCAGATTTCCGAAACAGTGCTATGTGTTCCACGAATCACCAGATAGAACTAAAAAACGTGTCTACGTCTACGTGTGAATATTCATGGTACCATGGTTACAGTACCAGGTGTTTGTAGAGATTATCACGTCATGTTCCCCTGATAAGTGGCGTCTATGGCACGTTCCATATGTTGCCGTGAAGTGAACGACGAGGGGTGACACGTTGTTAGGTAGTTGATTTACGTAATAGAAGTTCAACACAGCGAAATATTGACGAATAGAGAAGCTGACTTAGCTGAGAATGTATATATAACGTGAAGCGCGTGCATTTTCAAGTGCTTAGAATATAGCATATGCATAACTATTAGATGGGAATCTTGATATATCGTTCTATTAAAATACAGCTATTTAAATACAGCTTATACACAAGAAATCCGCATGTACGCTTTGGATTCAATATAAAAAGTAGTCGCGCGGAGAAAAGCCACGCTTAATTGGTACGAAAATAGAGGTCAAGGATGAGGCATTGGTGCAAAGCAAAGTTCGTCGAAGGGAAGATTTAAAATATTTTTGGAGGATGCACGTTGTGGTTCCAACGACAAATATATGCTCCGGAAAATCATCTCAACTGCGGAAATTACCATGGCCATGTTGGCAATAATCCTGACACAGCGCAAAGAAGTCATTTCGAAACTTCAACGTTTGGAAAATTCGTGTCACTCTAGTTTTCGACAGTGTTGTAGTGGTAAATTATTTTTTGGGTATACTCCCTTATACTGATAGCTCAATCCTCAAAGCAACAAGCCAACTATTTTTTTTAAGTATACGGCGTATACATAAGTATACCCTCCACTACATCACTGAGATAGTACCAGGGTACGTTCCGGTATACCTGACCGTACCCAGGGTACGTTCCGGCAGTAGGTACCCTTGGGGACATAGACCCTCTCAGCATTAGTAAAAGCTCTGGTAAAAGGATCGTATATTTGAGAGGTAAAAGTTTATTTTCGGTACACGGTATTGATCTATCCAATAGATATAGCTAGAAATCGGGAAATTCCAGATAAAAACCGCGATCCGGGAATAGAATTAAGTCACCGCGGGACACGGGAAAGGATCCGAAACTATTTTATTTAACAGAGAACCGGGAAATGGCACCACGGAGAAACCCCCTCCCCCTTCCACACGCGCACACACACACGCGCGCACGCACGCACGCAGGCGCGCACGCACCCCACGCACGCCCGTCCTCGTTCTCCACGATTGCATTGTTTGCACAAAATTCTTCCTCCACTCCCCCTTCGCATACATAAGTGGTATCGTCCAGCCTCGTTTTGGCGCAAAGAGCAAAAGCTCGGCGCGAGCTTATCTTTCGCTCATTACAACTTTAGTAGGCTACCGATTTGTCTTCCATTCTAGGTCTATTTATTTAGGTTTTATATTGGAAACAATACATTGGAACTCAACTCCGGTGGCTGCCCCAAGCAGTAGAAACCAATACATCTTGTATCAAATACGCAGCGAAACCTACAAAATGTGTGGTAAGTGTTATAGTAATTAGTACTTTAGTTAGCTACTAATACTATAGTCCGCGTTCAGTGAATGCACGCGGGATATTACTATTACTATTAGTACTAAAACTATACTTTAGTAGGCTAACTCGAAATATTCACGGTCGTGTAGGTATCTGAATAGCCACAAGTTCCCATCTCGCTTAACACTACGTGGCGTGCAACAGTCGGATCGAGAGCCTGGTCGGTTTAGTATCGGAACTGAAATGAAGCCTGTTTCAGTGTTTGGGTCAAGTGGTTTCTACCGCCGACCGGTGTAGCCCCTTCGCTCCCGCTACAGCAGGGACGTACGGGCCCTGTACCGTGTACGAAGCGAAGGGGCTATACACCCGTACTCACGTCAACTTCTGCACCCCTCAGGGCGTATCGAAAGTTTAGGTTCGTGATACCACGTTCATGTACAGATAGATTTCATTATTTGTGGTGATAAATGCACACTGGCACTTGGAGCGTTTCAATAATGCTAAATAAACACGAAATGTATTTACTAGTACCCAATTCTTAATGTTTCTCTACTCTCTTTCGGCTATTATTGCCGACAATTTCCTGAAAGTGCCATTCAAAATGCTCTTAGACCTGTCACATATACAAATATACAGCACGCACGCCGCCGCACGTTCACACTTGTACACGTGTATGTGTAACAGAGTGGCTATATGCCCGGCATATATCTGACGGCTGCCGGGCATGGTCTTAGATTTCCTAAATGCCCGGCAGTTTTTAATTTTCAGCGTTATCTCAAGTAAACGAGGGTTAGGGTTAGGGTTAGGAACTGCCGGGCATTTAGGAAATCGAAGACCGTGCCCTGCTGCCGGGCATATATAGCCGTGTAAACGTGCGGCAACGTGCGTGCGGTGTAGCTGTGTGTTGCAGAGAAGCATTTCAACGGCATTTACAGGAAATTGTCGGCTCTAACAAGCGAAGAAAGTAGAGAGACATTAAAACTTTGGTAGTAAATACATTTTGTTTATTTAGCATTATATTTTATTGAAACAAAAGCTTTTGTTAATGACACAACTAAAGCGCTGGCCACAGTCATGAGCGACCGTGAAGTTTGGAGTGATATCTGTTGTTCCTGACTCAAGGAAGCATCATGACCACCTTGGTCGACGTAGTAGTAGTAGTAGTTTATCGAAACGCTCCAAGTTCCCTGTTCCTCGCGAATGAGGACGAACAGCATTACAATTTACTTTCAGTTTTCCCAAGGCTTATGAAAGCTGCTCTGAAGCAGCATAGTATTATACTGCTATAATTTATAGGCAGGGGCGTAAATCCGTACCGAGGAGTGGGGGGGGATGATCGGCGATAGCTGGGTGCGAAATTAACCTTGGCTGCCGCAGGAATGCCAGTGCTAGGGGGGGTGTGGGGGCATGCCCCCCCCCAGAAAATTTTGAAATATTTAAGCCATTTTCCTGCAATCTGAGGCATACTGTGGGCCATATTCTCATGTCTGATGACACTATCTCAACCCTAGACTCAACCCTCAAGGGCCAATAAAATGTGCCGAGTAGTGGCGTTTTGGTGAGTCGGTCGGTAAAGGGGAAACAAGCAATATTTTATCTTAGGCCTTAAATACAGAGGTAAGGAACATGCTTAGTGGATTTCTTGTTTGAATTTATAGCCAAAATATAGCACACTTTGACAGTTTTGTTATTTATTTTAAGTTGTTTTTCTACTAAGTGAAGTATGCGTGGTCCTGTATTGTTAGCATCACTATAATATTAGCTGAAGTTATTTATTAATTATAGTAATCTAGTCTCGTTGAGTTTCCCCACAGCAATGGAATGTTACTGCTAGCTTGCTGATTATTAATGTACTCTGTAATAATGACCTTATATGTGCTGTTTTACACTATTTGATCAAGGGTCAGCCATTGTCTACTCATGGAAGCACAAAATGTAAGATGTATCTTCAGAAAGTAGGCTGTAACCCATACCTAATAGATAGATAGATAAATACATGACAGTTCATAGATTGTAGGCTATACGAGGTACTGACTATGTACTACTCACTGCAAGATTATACACGGACCCACTGAGGTTATAGACACAAAATCTTCTCAAGATTGCCATTTGCACATTGAATATATAATTTGATTAAGATGTGTTCATATTCATCTATACTGTCTAAACTTTGTCTGAACTTTTTGTTTATGAGTGAGGTGGAGATGTGAATAACAAACATCACGTGTTGTATACCCCAGGTGTGATGATACCATATGGCGCTACATTTCCATGTAACATAATATCAAGAGCTAATAATACCTCTTATTATTAGCTCTTGATAATATGTAGGGAGACTTACTCAGCAGCTGTTGCCAAGCTTATGGTATCATTAATTACAAACATTCATTAATTATGGAATATTAAAGTCATTCATTTTCGTTCATTCTTAAATAGGGCCTCTTTAAAAATGCTGTTCTCTTCATGACTTTTTTTTCTAATCCTTTCAATCATTTTGCTTACAGTAACACTGCATGAAACATACTGTATAATGCATGTATTAAATGCAAAATCCCATATTTAACTCTTAGCACGAACTGGGGTTGGCAGCAATAATATAGTGTACGTACACCAATGTGGTCATGTAATGGGAGTTCGTGCGGAGCAGTTGCAATTACAAGTAGACGTGTCATTATTTCTCTCATTCACGATTCAGTGAGTGCTGGGTTTTATGCTTGTATATATGGCCGTGCAGCCGCGTGCATCCCCTGCGGTGGAGGGACCCCATGTTCAGCTTGTGTTCAGTGAGTCTCCGTGCACGTTTGGGCTACTGGGTCATTCGCCTTGTTCAGACCCATCCCGAGGGGGTGACTGTGAGGGATGAAGTAGGTTAATGTGTGTAGCTTGCAACAATAATTTGCGATTGTTTGAGTACAACGCCAGCAACATGTGGGCGACTGTGAATGTAAATACTTGTGAGAGAGTGGTACGTGAAGATACTCAGTTCGCCACGTTGCATAACCGTTGCTTCAGGCCACATGACACTGTATATATATATAAGTGTGAGATGAGACAAGTTATTGCATTCGTTATCAATGTCTACTCGTGCAGAAAACGCTAGTTGTGGACCTGTGGTGGTGGTGGTGGTGCATCCAGAATGTATGATTTGTGCTGCGATCTTATCAACCTGTTATCTCACCTTAGCGACTTCTTTGCAAAAAAACGTGTGTGAATTACAAAACTGACCTGTAAATCTAAATTACAATTACATGCCTCGTGCAACTTGGCCGAGATGATTTTATTTTCTCATTATAGTTATTAAATGGGCAAGTGTTTGCCACAAGGTGTGGGTGGGTTCAGTTCATTAGCTACTGGTCTTCCGTGAATCGAAGAGCATTGACGGCAAGTTAGCACTATAAGGTTTATATATGTAGAGAAATCTTCGCTGAAACCCAGTGATACCCACTATACAGCATAAAGTGCCAGCCCAGCCATCTTGTAAACGTGCCTCTGATCTTAATTTCTGACCTGCACGAGTAACAATAATTATGAGGTTCGTAGTAATGAACTCTTTCCCTATCATTATACTTCTTTACAGTTGATAGGGAGGGGAGATGCGTCACAGGAAATATTAGTGTTGTGTATTGAATCTCAGCAAACCAGTTGGTGCACATTTAGTCACTGATCCCCTCTGGCTCGCAGTTGTAGGATATAAAATAAATTAGATTTTCACCCCCTCTTCTTAGCACCAAAACCATACGAATGAAATAAGGAAAGTGAGATACACTGGAATCTTCTGCCCAAATTTATCAAACCAATTATATTCAAATCGTAAGCTGGATATAAGTCCCCTGCCTGTAAGTGGGAGTAACCTAATGTGTATGACACTGTATGTATGTATACCAGCCCACCCAGCATGTACAGACTTATATTCAGTGTGTTCCACAGTCAAAAGACTCTCAAGCTCCACGCAGTGACACTTTATTGCGACTTTGACAAACAATTTATTACAAGAACTTTACTGCTGCCTGTGACAACCAGGTTCTGTGGATACTTAGAGCTATTGTTGGTCTGTTATATCAATACACAATAGCGCACCAGTTTATACTACCTCCAAGAAATAGACGTGTGCTGCAGAACATGGCAGGTATAAGTTAGTTTCTCTTTCTCTTAGTACCTTCTCTCCTCATGGAGAATAGGGCTGGAAATCAAATTTTCCATGACGTTCTATCTGTGGCAGCTCTTTCGGCCTCGTTCCATGTTTTAAACCCTAGTGTAATCCTTTCTCCACTGCCCTTTGCCATGTTTCCCTTAGTCTTCCCCTTTTTTCTCTTCCCCCTCTGGCCCCCTTGTCAGTGCAATGCGTGGGGTTTAATCTTTCTTCGTTCTGATGACATGGACAATCCATTTCCATCTTCTTCTTTTTATTAACATGCTGATTGTTTCGATGTCAGCTTTCTTCCTGATGTTTGCGTTTGTTGGATAAGTTAGTTTAGTATAGTTTAATTTAGGGTAGTGTAATGTAGTATCATTAGATACAACAATTACGAACATGAACACTAGTTTCGCCTTGTCGTTTTGTTTCGTTTCACTTCTATATCATCGCCTCTATCATCGCCTCGATCGTCATTATCAGATCTACAGGTGCAATCTTGGTGCGATGTATACGTGCAGGTAGCAACGTAATTTGGTGATTTCATCGACCATCCCACTGTCCCACCCAGTCTGGTCGGCTTGCTGCGATCTTACGCGTGTGGATGAATAGATGTGTGTCACCTTCACCAGCACTGTTATTTTTTTACTTTCTGCGATTAGGATTGCAATTTCATGAGCCATTACTCATTGTGTAGTCTGACTGTGAGGCACGGAACTCGTGTATTCCTCGCTCTCCGCTGTATAGACGGATCGTTACTACGGGTACCTCTTTTCTAATGTGTCACATATAAGCCGCTGTGACGTTTGAAAATCTGCCGATGCGGTTGGAAAGCGAATGTAGAACGACCAAGCGCTGTTCTCCGTAACCTACTTCTCGTAGCTGCAGGGCAAATAGTTCCACTTGAATGCGTAGCAGTGGCCAATTTATGACAAAATGTGTCACTAATGCGCTCCGTCAAAGTGTTTCATCTACAATCGTTGCCGCTGCCGTCCGTCTGCGTATTTAGATTCACGAATATCAGACTGGAATGTGAACTTTATACATTAGTACGCACGTAAATAAAGAAAGTTTGCGTGTTTTCCGCTGTACAATCTAATGTTTAGTTGGTTAGGAAATGAGTACATGCTTTCGTTTTCTTTTCGTGTATTAGCAAGATCTTCCGTGCCTTGCAAATCATCATTGCTATTGAAGCAAAATAGTGTTTTTTGCTGTAAAAGTTTGATGTATATATGCTAATTACAACTGTATCATAGCTGAGTATTATGCTAAGGTAATTGACTTACTTGCTGAGTAGTCGAACAGAATGTGGGTTTAGCTCGGCATGGTGTTTACCGCATTATTGAATAAAACCAACTTTAAAAAAAATACGGTTGATCAGGTCGATTATATCAGAAGTAGACAATTACCTACTACCCTATCCCTACTCCTATTATCTATACTTCTGATTATATGGAAATAGGTCGCTATAGATGCTTATCTGGATATATCTTATACGTACGCTGATCCCATTTTCACAAACTTTGTCTGCTCTAGATAATAACGAATGATCGTATATTGACCTATCATTGATTATATGATAAGGCTATATATATGGTCAATAAAATGTTCTGAAGTGGGAGTTGCCTTTTAGCGAAACTTAATAACATTAGCTAGTAATATTTCCAAGTACACGTGGATATGGGTATTAAAGTATATGAGCATGCTAGAGTAGTTAGCTATATAGTGTGTGTGTGTGCGTGCGTGCGTGCGTGCGTGCGTGCGTGCGTGCGTGCGTGCGTGCATAGTGCGTGCATAGTGCGTGCGCGTGTTGATATATATATGCAGACGGCGGTCGTGTGACATCATGTTACACGACATCACGCAAATACTCATCTATAGAGTGTGTCTGATTGGGTGGTAGATATATTAATAGCATATTAATATTATACTATATATGTATTAGCTTTAGTGTATGTGGCATGTGCGTGCGTGTGTGAGTGCGCATGCGTATATATATATATATGCAGACGGCGGTCTTGTGTCATCATATGTTACATGGATGAATATAGTTTGTGTCTGATCGGGTGGTACATATAGCATATATATAGTACATTATAGTATTATATTAGCTTGTGTGTGTGTGTGTGCGTGCGTGCGTGCGTGCGTGTGCGCGTGCGTGCGTGTGCGCATGCACATGTGCGTGTGTGTGTGAGTTTGTGCATGCGCGTGCGCGTGTTTGTGTGCGTGCGCTTGCTCGTGTGCGTGTGTGTGCGTGCGCTTGCTCGTGTGCGTGTGTGTGTGTGTGGGTGTTTGAGCGTGCGCGTGTGCGTGTGCGTGTGCGTGTGCGTGTGCGTGCGCGTGCGCATGCGTGTTTATATATATGCAGACGGCGGTCTTGTGTCATCATGATATCTAGAAATCTAGATATCTAGATGATGATAGATGAATATCTAGTTTGTGTCTGGTCGGGTGGTAGATATAACATCAGGAGCTAATAATGACAAATTATGTCATTATTAGCTCCTGATAGCATATATATATTACTGTTTAGTGTGCGTGTGTGTGTGCAATGTGCGTGTACGTGTGCGTGTGTGCGCATATATATGCAGATGGCAGTATTGTGTCATCATCATATTACATAGATGAATATAGTTTTGTCTGGTCGGGTGGTAGATATGATAACGTTAGGAGTGTCATAATATAGATTATATTATCTATTTATATATATATTCTTATTAGATTATATTATCTATATTATGATACCCCTGATAACGTATGTATGTATAGCAGTAGTATGGCTCGTTATCATATTTAGTGGGATGAAACCGAAGTTCCGAACTACAAACGATTTGTCCCATCTTGTGGCTTGTCATCCTGATGGTTGATCTGCATTATATCAGTGGTTATTATGACAAATCCCTGATTATATTTATGTTAGTTTTAAAATGAGTTAGTATTAATTTATATTAGTTTTTATCGTGAAGGTTCACTATTATTATGTTGCACCTTTATGTTACGTTTATATAAATACATGCGGTCTAGCTTCATAGAATCTTATATTTGCAGGCATCTTTGCTTACTTGAACTGGCTGGTGCCGAAGACTAGGAAGGAGATAATTGAAATCTTAGTGAAGGGGTTGCAGAGACAGGAATACAGAGGCTACGACTCTGCAGGTAAGAAATTGTGATACTCGAAACGCATGTGAATCAACTTGTAACCAGTAGCATTTGCTTTTTTAGCATTAACTCTATGAAATGATCATAAATCGTCCATATTCATGCTAATTTCATATTGGCATTAGTCTCACAGCCTTGTCGGGTTAGCACTTGGTATAATACTGGGCTTCAGATGGGTTATTTATGCCGTTGTCTGGTTGAGGTGTATGTGCATAACACCACACACTGTACTGTACATGCTTTAGGTAAGTACTGCACTAGTCTATGCAGTCTATGCACTAGTCTATGTCTAGTCTATGCACTAGTCTAAGACTGCACTATAGCTAAGAGTCGTAAATTAATAAATAGTTGATAATTTTTAACATTAGCAGCAATATATAGCAGCAATTATTCTAACTACATTCGTGAACTCTTACTAATTAGGAGATATTTTAAGCTTTATAAATTAGGACGGTACGTGTGACTTGTGTCTGGACGTAGCACACTACAATTTCACCGTTCAATCATTAATGAATGTGTACGTGCATGCCATAGAATTCCACGTCCAAACATTTATGCACATTTTAAGTCCGTTTCTGATTGCCCAACTTTGATAATTAATTAATTATGTGGCTGGACTCAAAAATTAAAATTGAGTATATGCGTCGAGGTTTCATGGATGTGTCATAAAGCAAGTGTTCACGCAGGGGTTTGATCTAGACGGCATGTGCAATAGGTGCGGCTGGTTGCATGAGACTTTGTGGAATGCAAATAGGATTAAATCTGTCAGACAGGCTTACTGTTATCAGCGTGCATCTCTTTAAATTTGAATAATCGAAAATGAGTCAGTTACTTTACTCCAGATGTGTAGTGTATTGATCAACAGGTGCACAGTAAGACATGTGCCTCCGATATCGGCTGCCGTCTATGTACGCGTTTATGTGTAGTTAAGTAACTCAGCAGATCAGGCTCGTGTGTAAATTTATGCAGATAGATGGAATGTCGGCTGATATAATAATATACTCTTTGTATAGATATGTTCGTGGTACTGCTGTAGTATAAACAGGTTCATGGTAGCACTAGATAGCACCTAGATAGCCATATTATTTGGTCAAAGTCAAGGCCCTGTCACACCTTGACGACTTACCAACGATAGCCAGCGTATACCGACGTATGAAAAATTTGGTGAATACGCTGGCGTACGTCGAATAAGTTATGGGTAAGCTTTGTATTAGCTTTGTATAAGTTAAGAGCTCGCTGAAGAACGCTGAAGCACGCTGGTATACGCAATCCTCAAAATCTTCTGACGTACTTGCCGTACTACGACGTATACCAGCGTGCTTCAGCGTTCTTCAGCGTTCTTCAGCGTTCTTCAGCGTTCTTCAGCGAGCTCTTAACTTATACAAAGCTTATACAAAGCTTACCCATAACTTATTCGACGTACGCCAGCGTATTCACCAAATTTACGTTGGTAAGTCGTCAAGGTGTGACAGGGCCATCAGCCCGGCGTCTGCAGTGGCCAGCATATTATGGTCATGGCTGTTTATCCACCACTTCTCGGCAACTTTCCAAAGTAGCCTGTTATAGAGGAGGACACAAAGAAAGTATTCCAGACATACGTGCACTTGCACGCACGCACTCACAAACATACATTGACCCAGACATAGATAATTAGCATTAGGTCAAGTGATTGATAAATATTTTGAACTCCCCCACACTGAATATAGCCATGACTTCTCGTATATCTGTTTCCACAATAGATGTAAAAGTACAACCAATGGTAAAGGGACACTACATGTGAATGTTCCGTTATGCTCCTATGTTAGGCGCACTTTTGTTGACTTAGCTGTTTGGAAGGGTCTGAAACCTCAAGAAAATGTTTATTTTAAGCAGCCTGTGAGCTGTGTAAATGAAGAGCTCGTATATGTGAATTATATAGTGAATTGATCAACTCGATCATATCGACCCATTTGGAGAACTGAACTGTTGACACAGAAAAATATAAAAAAAATTCAAAATGTACAAAAACGCATAATTGTGATATATGTTGAGTTGTTGACCATCTGTTAGAAACACCTCATCGCATCCAAGATGAATAGCAGGTACGAAAGTACATTGGTGCATGTGGATTTATCATTAGGAATATTTTAGTTAGATTGTCTGTTCTCATCACAGGTATTGGGATTGAGGGTTCCAACAGCATCGATGATCCCTACATGATGACCTTAATCAAAATGCCTGGCAAGGTGAAGGCACTTGAGGATGAAATCCAGAGTAAGTATGCTACCTATTTTAGTGTACAACCTATGTATTATATGGCTACCAGTGTTTGTTCACCTAGTGTATCTAGTATTTACTATTACTATAGTATTTAGTATTACTATGTACCTAGTGTTTATCTGAACACCATCCCCCATCACCACCACACGTACGATTGGGCCTGCTCACACACATACGTACATGCGTGGGCACGCATCCAAAATACATAGTTGCACTGAGAAATAAACTGATAAATCTTCTCCTAAAAAATGTTGTCATGAATCTTGTCTTAAAAATATTGTCATGCGTCCCTAGCTTATAAATATGGTTATTCCCACTGTATGTCTACTGTTCTTCAGGGAACGCAGGGCAGCTGGACTTCAGTAGAGTATTTGACCTTCACGTTGGCATTGCTCATACTCGCTGGGCCACCCATGGCGCTCCCAGTGTGGTAAATTGTCATCCCCAAAGGAGCGACACTAATAATGGTCTGCACCACTCATGCTCTGTATAATTAATAATAATTCTGCTGATTATGTGCCTTTCATTTAAAAACTGTTGAAGGAATTATCTGTTTCTTTTTTACAGTCCATGTATGTTGAATGCATGCATATATGCTGTAAATGCCATGTTTTCTATTAGTTACTACTTTCTTCATGATCAGATTTTTCCAGCTATGTGTGTAGATGAGTGATCTTTCACTGCAAAAATCTAGCACTAAATAATCTGTCAGCTTTCACATTTCTCACTCACCTCAATAAATCTCAAGCAGTCATTCCATAGCAGAGAATTCATTAGTAACTAGATTAACGTGTTTAATTTTGTATTCTGTACAGAATTCATTGTTGTACACAATGGAATCATCACCAATTATAAAGAGGTCAAGGTATATCTGGTAAGTTAACTTATTATGGTGATTAAAGAAGTCACTTAAAAATGCATTTTACTTGTAGTTTTTCACAATGTTTACGATGTCATTAGACATTCTTAAAGGGATACATGACTCTAGGCTCCTTGCATATTTTTAGTTAAAATAGGTTTGAATTACGCTACATAAAAAATTTCAATGTTCAATATTTATTAGAAATATTTTTTTAAGTTTTAAAACTTACTGCTAAAGTGAATAAATTGGAAAACTGCATAAGTGTAGATAAACTTGCTCTCACCTATTAGCGGACTTTTTACTGATGACTCCGACACAACAATCACCACAAATTGAGGAAAGAGGTTGAGAAAATACGAAAACGGTTGGTAAAAATGTGTGAAATCCTTGCTTTAATCACTTTTGCTTCTTCCATTTAGGAAAAGAAAAACTGCGTGTTTGAGTCCGAAACAGACACAGAAGTGATTTCCAAGCTTGTGAAGTACTACTATGACCGACACCAAAACATGAGCTTCCGGCAGCTTGTAGAGCATGTCATTCAGCAGCTGGTAAGTGACCTTCGACTACCTGCATGTACATGCTTCTGTTTAGATTTGAAAATCATGTGTAAATCTGATGCCTGTAAAGTGCATGCGGTTGACATTCCTGTTGAATGTATTCTTAGAGTTGGTCGTAGGGTTTACATCGGACATGAAACTCGTAACTTTCTTCATTTCTTCATATTAGAATATCTATGTGTATTCAGTCATGTATCCATTGCAGGAAGGAGCCTTTTCGCTTGTCTTCATGAGCAGTCACTACCCAGGGGAGCTGGTTGCCAGCCGGTACGTAATCAGTGTCCTTTTGCATCAAAACACCGGTGTTTTCCTCTTTAGACGGCGATACCGTCAAGGAGTCGAGTTGATTTTAGCTATCAACTCGGGTGAAGTCGCTTCTTTTCGGTGTTGTCTGTTTAGCCTGCTGAACAGTGACTTGTAACATACTGTTTAAACCGTTAATTACTGTTGTTCCATTTCTCTGGTACTGTCTCACATTTCTAGAAAAGTATTGTTACCTTAACACTAAATGATTTCTTATTTGTAATTCAACTTATCATTCACTTATTCATCTCCAGGGTTTGTACAGGTACCGGAGCATCCCTAAAAAGTCTTAGAATTTTAATATGCTATTTTCAAGTCTAAAAATCTTGGAAAATATGCTATGGGATTGGAAGCTCCTAGAAAATAGGCTATTGTCCTAAAATGTCCTGGAATATTGGCTATTATTATGTTTGGTCCTAGAAAGTCATTGAAATGTAGTATATACATGATATATGCTTATCTTGTCTGAGAAACAATAAAACTTGCTTTGTGTGAGTGTTTGTGCTTTAATCACTGATCTAATTGTACGCAGCACAAAGATTGTATTCGGCCAATATCTTGGAAGTGGAATTGTAGTCGTGAGAAGTGGACCTTTAAGGTCATGGAAACTCCTGGAAAAAAGCTGTCCATGAGTGTTGAAATTCCATATGATATCTCACGGTCCAGACGTTTTGCATTATCTTTTTAGGGTGGAATTATACGATGAAAGGAGCACTCAACTGTGTTAATAATATCGCTCTATAAATACAATGTGGGCACAAAATGCATTTTACGATAAACCTCTCTTTTTGTTTCAGTCGAGGCAGTCCTCTGATAGTGGGAATCAAGACCAAGGTGAAGCTGGCTTCGGATCACATCCCTGTTATGTACAGTAAAGGTGCGTTTGCCGCACATCCAATCTGTAGATACCAGTAGTTGCTTGCCTGCCAGCCAGTGCATAGCTCTATTGTGTAATCTTGCTGCTTTATGTTATCCAAGATTATTTGGTGTCGTCTGTGTCGTAGTTCTTGTTTAGGATCTTTTGTATGTAATCCCTAAGATAGATTCTATTAGCAAGTCACTGATGTACCTGTAGACCAATATATCGGTGGAATGGATAGATGCATGTGTCTTACCATACCTGTACACAGTACCATGAACATATCTGTGCAGTAATTGTATAGATATGTTCATCATAGTACTACATCATCAATTTCACGCTGGAGGAAAAGTGATGTGATAACTCCCATTCTTCACATTGAATTAATTGCAAACGTTTCCTTGAAAAGGACAGCAGCTGCACCAGCATATAATAATTAGACCTCTTTTGTTTCTTGGCACTTGACCGACTATCTCTGCAGGACATTTGCACCATCTGCACTTCTAATACTATTCTTGGTAAACTTGTGTTAACCCAGACGTAGTTTAGATTTGTTACAGTTTGCCCACTTTTTGTGGTAATGTCTCTTTTATATACACAAAGCATGGTAGCACATTTTTTTCCATAGATGTGTTATCACTGCGGTCCTATTCAATTTCTATTTTTTATGTGCCAATGCCGATATCTCACTGACTTTTGGCATGGAATACTGTACACACCCTGACTCACCTCTGGTTCTTGACCCCTGTAATGCATGTCGACAGGACTGGAAGGTATTGCACGTTTTTTGTTGTCTATAGTTTCTTAGACAAGTTCCTTTCTCCAGATTGGACGTAAGCTGAGAGGTGATGTGTATGACGTTAACATATTTCATGAAGCCATGCAGTATGCAGTTTTGTGAACTGGAGCAGTTTCTTATCAAATGTTAAACTGTGCATTTGCTACTAATTGTGATGTTAGAATCTGTATTGGTACGTCAATTATGTCTTAAATATCTGTATTTCTGTGCAGTTTAAAGTATTTCCATAGTCAGAAACTGTAGTTTGTAGCAGCAGCTACAGTCTGCTGGACATCCAGTCACTAGTCTGGATGACTTTGGTAAATACATGGTGGTGATGGTTTGTAATTTATCTTTTCTTGCGGATCAGTCGAGACCATTTGTGAAGTAAATTAAACTAAAATCCACTATATACCCTATATAAATATAACATGGGGTACATAGAAATGCTTGAAACTAAAAACATCTTACTCATAATCTTATAGTCCATGTTAATACTGAGCAAAGAGGAACAATTGCGACCCAAGTCTTGCCGTGATGATTACACGGATATCTGTCATGCACCATTGTTAAACGTGTATATTAACAATAGGTTTTTCTCTGTGGGTGTACATGTCGATTCAGATGATAAGGTGAGGCGTGGCAGCAGCTTCAACCCCGACCGCCAGAGCCTTGTGAGCATCAGCGAGGTCCCAGCAACACCGTACGTGAATGACAACATCACGCAAGTGACCACGCTTGAAGGTCACGAGGTCGAATACTTCCTCGCTTCAGATGCCAGGTAAATGATGCGTGTACAGTAGCTGGGTTTTGAAAAAGGAGCAGGAAGTTTCTCTGTGTTATGTGTAATTGAATGCCTTAACAATGTATTGAGGTGTTTTCAAGGAGTGTTTTGTGTTGTAGTTATCATGCGCATTTGCTATTTGCCATGTATGAACAGTGTTTTTTAATCTAAATTTTTTTGGTAATGTAATAGAATGTTGGGCATGGTTAGAGAGGGACAGGCTTTGGTTTTTTACAAGAACATCTGCTATTTTACAGTAGGAGTCGTACCCTTTCACACATGCCATTCAAATGTGTTATGTGACTTAATAACACACTTTTCACACTTTTCTGTATATCTCGGCTACATGACTGGTATCGTTAAGTGTGTGATATGCATTTCTTGATAATATGTCTGGTATTGCGGGTTGTGAAGGTGACATGATGTTTGAAGTACAGCTAATATGTTTACTCTCTGTGTCTGTAGTGCCCTCATAGAGCACACCAATCAAATGATTTATTTGGAGGATGATGATGTAGCAGCTGTCAGTGGTGGCAGTAAGTATAAATAAATGTTGCTCATTTAAAATGGTGATTTATCTGTCACGGTTGATCCAACTGTCTCCCCAAGTTGTCTTCTGGCTGCATTGTGGCCCATAGTGATATACACATCATTGATCGTCAGTTCTAGTACTGGCAAGCAAAACGATGTGATTGCATAGGTCAAATATATATCAGTTGTTACTTATTGTTATCAGTTGTTTACGTCATGTGGCTCACGTGAGTTTGAGTTGATTCCCTAATTGTTATTAACCCTAATAAAGGCATAATGAAATTTGTTTCAGTAGCAGTGTTAAAATACTGACTGTTTTGGTATTGACTCTACTGTTGTACTTCACCATGCCTATAAACTATCGTAACAGACTCGATCTGTCTACAGGTCTGACCATCCACAGACACACCTCAATGAAGAAAAAGGATCAATTTGCCACACGCGAGATCCAAACTGTTATGATGGAGATGAAACAGATCATGAAAGGTACAGTACGTGCAGGTGTTTAGGAACCCATGCTTGTGCATGAGGCAGAATAACACCTTTCTGATCACGTAAATAAAATGGATCCTATAGTATTCTATTAGCAATTAATTCACTATTAACTGAATATTTTTTTGTCATTTGCTATTTATTAATCATTAACTGTTATTAATTATTAACTGTTTTTTACTAGGTTGTTACAGCTCATTCATGCAAAAGGAGATATTTGAGCAGCCAGAGTCTGTTGTCAACACCATGAGGGGCCGACTAATACCCAAAGATGGGACTGTTGTCTTGGGTGGACTGAAAGAACACATTACTGAGATAAGACGCTGCCGTCGTCTGATTTTCATTGCTTGTGGTACTAGTTATCACAGCGCCCTAGCTGTAAGTTTAATTGGTTCATGATTACTTTTATGACTTAAGTGAGCATAAATTGAGCTATCCACCACCTGTGGTTAACAGACATATTTGGCAATCATTGCTTGGATGTGATGTTCTAAAAACAGTGGTTAGCAATGTAGTCTCGTCTCGCAAAGTTGTCATTTTGGTGTGCATGCAGGAAAGGGCACACAATGTGGTCTAGATTGACCAACCAACAATGTCCAAGGGGGCATGCATCATCTGCAAATTTTAGTGGCTATGTCAGTGTGAGTAAACCATGTGTGGTGCGCAGACCAGTGGGACGTGTGTGACGTGTGACGGCTGTCGTGTGTGGTGCGCAGACCAGTGGGACGTGTGACGGCTGTCGTGTGTGGTGCGCAGACCAGTGGGACGTGTGTGACGAAAAAAACACACAAAAATAGTTATTGTTTTAAGAAAGTTTAGTTTTTCTGCCACGCGATGACGCCACTGTGACGTTGCAGACGAGGCAGCTGCTGGAGGCTGAGGCTGGAGGAGCTCACTGAGCTTCCCGTCATGGTGGAGCTGAATTGTTGAATTGAAATGTAAAAAAACACACAAAAATAGTTATTGTTTTAAGAAAGTTTAGTTTTTCTGCCACGAGATGACGCCACTGTGACGTTGCAGACGAGGCAGCTGCTGGAGGAGCTCACTGAGCTTCCCGTTATGGTGGAGCTGGCGTCGGACTTCCTCGACCGCAACACTCCCGTCTTCCGCGACGACGTCTGCTTCTTCATCTCACAGTCGGGTAAGCGTCTGATGCAGGCTTTGGCAGGCTGCACTCTTCTCGTGCTTTCAGGCATGCGCATTAAGTCATTTAATTAAGTAGCATCAATGTTGATATCCTTAAATACAATGTGAGGGTTTTGGCACGAAATTCAGATTTTTTGCACCGACCCACAGCGCTGGTAACAGTATTTTTTTTACCAGCCCTCACTGTAATTTACCAGCCCACACAAATTTTGTTTGTAAAATCAATGTCATGTTTCACGCTTGCGTTCTCGATTTCAAATTTGTAAAATGTTGATAAATTATGGCGTCAAAGTCGTCATATCCTTCAGAAGTTCAGGTAAAACAGTAATGTAGGCTATAAATAAAAATGTAGGTATTCGCTAACACAGCTGAAACCACCGGCTCGGAGGGCTGGTGTTTTGCCAATGTTACCGGCCCTCCAAATAATTTGCCGGCATATGCCGGTGGGCCAGTGCTAATTTTGCGCCATGACCAGGGTCTTGTTGTCAGAAACGTAAATAGTTATTGCTGTCACGAGTCTCACTTTCGCATTCCTTCTTTTTGTTAAAGGGATACTAGACTCTAGGATTTTACTGCATACAACTGTACTTGCTGTATAACAAATCGTCTATACCCATTACCCACACGTACTTGTTACCAGATACCTAATTTAATTGATATAATTAATTATACATTAACGCTACGAAATTTGAACGGAGCCATTGACACTCGCGACCGTGCTGCCACCCTGAAAAAGTTGCACATTTCCCAGTATATTTTGCACGTTACAGACCGAGGGCTAATCACAAAGGTGCAATTATATTTATACCTAAATGCTATTTAACCGAACAATGTTTATTTTAGGACAAATTTATCCATAATATAACTGAAACTATATGTCGTTTATAAGATATTACAATCCTTTTGCTTTTAAATTAATAAATAAAAAACACCCTCGGTCTGTAGCCCTTGGCTGAAAAGTTGTTTTGTGCAACTTTTCAGATCGTGCGCTTTGATTGGCGCCACCATCGTTGTAATCGAACTGTAGTCGCTAGTTTTAAAACAAACAAAAAAAATTTCTAATGGTGATTGAACCATGAAACTTTTTATTTAGCATAATTTTAACCTAAATTAACTGAAAATAACCCTAGAACCTAAAGTAAAGGATCCCTTTAACAATCTGATCGTGGTAGCATTATGTTGGGGGTAGACAGAGTTATGCATTTTCATAATTCTGTATGGTATCTGCAGGAGAGACGGCTGATACACTGATGGCCCTACGCTATTGCAAGCGCCAGGGGGCTCTTGCAGTCGGCATCACCAACACTGTCGGCTCCAGTATATCTCGTGAGACTCACTGTGGTATTCACATAAATGCTGGGCCAGAGATTGGCGTAGCAAGTACAAAGGTAGGGGAAGGTGTTGTGTGTGGGCATAATTATTGTTAAGATTGGCAATCACACTGTGAGCCTACACAGTTGCTGAAATTATTCTGTTGTTACCCTTAGCTCTAAGCGTCCCTTATTTATAATAGCTTAGAGCAAAAACTATATTCATTAGTTAACTAACTTTTATGGATTAGCATTAATTGGCAGCACATAGCTCGAATTTTTCAGGGAATTGTGCATATTGTACATTTGTTGAATTCTTATTAGATTTGTATGTATTCGTGTGATCCGTACAGCAAGTTCTAACGCTCTGTGTGCCTATCGCAGGCGTACACAAGTCAGATCATCTCTCTCGTCATGTTTGGACTGATGATATGTGAAGACCGCATCTCCCTGCAGCCTCGCAGGCAGGAAATCATAGAAGCACTTGGAGAACTCCCAGGTACTGTATACGCCATATATTTCGCGTACAGATATTTTTGCGAATTCAGACTTGACAGGCAATTTCGCAAGTGGTTAATTTCGCGGTCGATGAATTATGAATTAAGTACTCGGTATTATTCGGTATGAATTATTCGCGTGTTGTTATTTTCGCGGTCGGAAACGCATTCGCGAAATTCGCGAAAATTAAACCACCACGAAATATACAGCGTATACAGTATATGCAAATAACCTACCAGTTTTCTATAATGTGGTGTAGAATGTTTGTAGCATTAACATGTAAAATTTATATCTAGTAGGCAATTTGTTTTTAGAATTTTAGCATATGGTATTCGTATGGTGGTTTAGCTGTTTTAAAATTCAGCGTTTCCCACGTTCAATTTTTGCCGAATGCATTACGCAATCAATTCTATTTCAGATCAAATCAGAGAAGTGCTGAAAACCGATGAGAGAGTCAAGGTGCTTGCCGAAGAACTCTACGATAAGAAATCTCTCCTCATCATGGGTCGAGGCTTCAACTTCGCTACCTGCCTAGAGGGGGCACTCAAAATCAAGGAGTTGACGTATATGCACTCGGAGGGTATCTTGGCAGGAGAGCTGAAACATGGACCCCTTGCACTCGTCGATTCCAATATGCCTTTGATGATGGTGATAACGCGCGACCAAGTGTACTCGGTAGGTCATTCCTTGACATGCTGGTTGCTAGCCTTTGTTGAAGTCCATACCCTTCACTCTTAGAATATTTTCTCACACTCTTTGTCAAAAGAATATGATTTAAGACAGTTGTTAGCACTTTTAATGAAAGACAAACAATTATATTCTTATACTCACTTTACTTAATTGGTTATCTTGCTCCACGATTGTTCGTTATTTTGTCCTTTTATGCCATGGGGGCATTTAGCTTACCAGCCAAACTTCTCCATTCCTACCTGTCCCCCTCAGGCTCCCCCAGCTTGTGCCAGCTGGTTTCTGGGGCACGATGTGAGAAACTTAAAATAATTCTGACAGTGCGAGTCTAATCCTTTCAACATGAAGTTTTATACATAGTCATTACGATATAAACTTAGTATTCATGATGTTTATGACAATTCTGCTTTACCCGTCTCTTGATTGCTTGCACACAGAAATGCATGAACGCACTGCTGCAAGTGACGGCGCGCGGCGGCCGCCCGATCATCATCCTGGAGAAGGACGACGACGAGACGAAGAAGCACGTGGAGAAGATGCGATACATCGAGGTGCCGCACACCGTCGACTGCCTTAGCAGCATCCTCACCACCATCCCGCTACAGCTGCTCTCGTACCACATCGCCGTTCTGAAGAAGTGCGACGTGAGTCTTATTATTATTATTATTTTTATTATTAAATCTTTATTGCATGTAATTCAAATACAAGTACATGTACAGTCTTTTTCATGGAGAAAAAATCTGATAAATGCAATAGTGTTGAGCAGTTAATATGATAAAATTTCTGAGTGATACAGTACAAAACAGTGCTATACAACATGAAGAAAAAAATATAGTAGCACGTGTATGCACACGTTAACTAATCGTGATGGCATTAGTTCACAACTTGTGGAATTCTTAGATGTGTAGCGCTGTTAGTTTGGAATTCAGGGAATTATAGTGGGTTGTAACAGTGTGAGATCAAAATACGCGGAATTCTTGGCAGTCTGACGGTATTAGATGAAAATTTATAGAATTCTTAGTGGTGTAGTCGTGCTAGATGAAAATTCGTATGAAATTCATAATGGTTTAATGGCGTCATTATTATTGGTGTAATAATGTCAGATGAAAACTTATGGAATTCTTAGGGGGGTTTTAATGTTCTAAGTGTATTTGGTCAGAATTTCATGAAAGCTTTAGTTGTAAAAATTTCATTTCTAAACTGCCGATAAATAAATTGCATAGGGACTTCTTGTAAACAGTGCACTAAATAAATGTGCTTGGCTGCTATATCAGTAAAATTAGACTTTATGTACATTTAATAATATCCTCTAAAAAAGTGTGTGAATGAAGTGTTTACATAACAACTAATAATAGGTGCGTTCACACTGGCGCGAATTAGCGGGCTGCAAAACCCGGTTTTTGCAGCCCGCTCGAAAAACCGAGCTTTTTACAAGTGTGAACGCAATTAGCTCACTAAATCGCGCTCAAAATAGCGCGCTGCAAAGAACACTTCCGACTGCGCTAATTTGGAATAAGCGCGCTTATTTGCGCCGCGGCGCCTGTTATCCCGCTCGGCGATTAGCGAGATATTTCCGCCTGTGTGAACAACGACACAATTAGCTCACTATTATCTCCGCTATTAGCGGGATGAGCAGCGCGGTTTTTCTTGTGTGTGAACACGCCTATTGGTGTACGGCCCCCAATGCATACCAATAATAAACCTTACTTTCTTTCTTCTGGTGAAATTTATTGTATTCAGAATCATATATGAGGTACTCACCTCATTCTTTTTTTTTTAGGTGGATTGCCCAAGAAACCTAGCAAAGTCTGTGACAGTGGAGTAAAACATTAAACATTTAGAAGAGGTTAGGTGGGCCAATAGTATAAGAAAAGCAGGGTATCAACTGCCATGTACAGTGATAAATTTTCAAGGTTATTTTTTGGAAGTATTTTGTTATTTATATTTAAAAATCATGTGAAATAATTTGGTTGTTAGGTGGTACGAAATTAGGCTTCTTCGTCCAATTCCTGTTAGTAGAGTGAAAAACAGAATTCTCCAATAATCTCTTCTGTAGCAAAAATGTAGCTAAACAGAGGTCAAGGAGACATAGGCCTTATCTGCTATAATAACTGTAACAGTAAGCATAGTAGGTATCTGTAGCAAAAGTTACAAATTACATTTACGAGTTTGTAGACGGCATAATAATAACAACATTCCAATTATCGTTTTACAGCTTTATTCCAGTTCACCGACAGTGTACATTTGGATTACTCATTTAAACATGTTGTGATTATATGGTGGTATGGACGATTCATATAATCATAGATATATATACCAAAATTGGTTGGTATATATATCTATGATATAATATACACACTACACACAATATGAGCTGGCCCACGTTTCATCTGAAGTAGTAATCACTGTGCAGAATGATTACAATAATTATACATAGATCAGATTGTTTCTTTCAACAGCATGTTAGCTATTAACTTTGAAAAGCAGAAGGACAATCAAGCATAAGACAGATCTGTGGCACTTATGTATGACTGGACGTTTGAATGCAGTTGCAGTGTATAATCAAATATGTTTTTGTTAGTTCAAAGAAGTGCACAATGTAGAGAAATACATCCAAAGTGCCTTAATTAATATAATATATATATATCTCTATTGTTGTCATTTATTTAAATATTTTTGACTTATTCTGGGCACAGGCTATATACCGTTTTAATGCCTTTTACTACTAGCATCCGTTTAACCAGCAACAGAATAATCATGCCTTTGACAGTGCGTTTATTATAGTGGTAGGGACTTCTTACTATGGGTGGTATTCCTTATACATTAATTCCGTTTCCAGCACTTTAACGTAGCAGGTTCATGTACAACTTTTCTGATATACACACACATATATAATCAGGAGTGTATCAATATTGATACACTCCTGATATAATGTGCATGTAGCTTGGTAGTCGTAGATGAAGAGTGGCAGTGTATATATCGTATACCAATTATGACCAATATATTCTTGTACAGAACCTGGGATGTTATGTAAATTAATGTATTATAAAACGTTAAATTGTTGGCAAATGTGAGTGCTATTGAGTGAAGGCATTAATAGTAATTTATGTGTTAAATGGTTGTTACCAAAATTATACTTGCATTGGGGTATAACATTCTGAGTGTGATCAAGTTGTAAATGTTGTTTCAATGGGTAGCAATTCCCATGGGTTTAGCCCAAAATGAGTTGGTTGTAACTACTACTAATTGTAAAATTGCAAATTAATGAAATTACAGAATGTGATGCTTGTGCCATAATTATTAATCATATTATTATAATTATTAATCCCGTTTTCAAAATAAAAGGTTATTGCAAAGAACGCGGTTGTTAGTATTTCTCAGCTTTCACATGGTCAGATGCAGATAGTTTGGGCAGAGCCAGGAATTCTTAAAATTGCTGAAATGGCCATCTGCTTGATATTGCAACGAACAAGATTAGTATCTTCTACACTGAAATTTATGCTGTGATAACCTGCTCTTTATTCGATTGGCAAATGTTCACACGATCTCTCATAGACTATAAGTATGTACACTTCCACATTGGTTGGGTTTTATTCGAGATAGCATGCAAAAATGTCAAATTATTTAAAACAAAGGAACAACTTGCAAAAGAAAGTCACCAGGCAAGAGGTTCTATCCCTCTTCTCTGCCTGTCCCACTATGTATGCAGCACACAACTACGTTTAACAGCATTTTAACAATCCACAAGAAAGTGAAACGGTTATGCAACGATGTATGCACATTGTAGAATGAGGCTAACGTATACGCTTCATTAGGAGTGTTCACAACTTTGATATCATTAATGATTAATGATTGATAATCCTAACCCTAACCCTAACCTAAATGACATTAAACCACAAACTAATATATGACCATGACCATATATATATATATATATATATATATATATTATGACCATTAATGACATTAAAGTTGGGAACACTCCTAATTATCACCCCAGAATGGCTATGTACATGTAGAATTTGCATTAGTATGTCCATTTTTCCCATAATATACTAGGATTACAATGAGTTGAATTTCACAATATATAAGCATTTGCAGGGTTGAGTAATGACAATAAACCGCAGTAGTTTCTGAAAAATCAAAATTTTCGGCCATAGAAACCGACAGTCGACTAGCTACTAAATTACTTAACTCTGTAAAATGCATAAAGACATGCATAAAGACTCCTTTGAATGATCAGCAACATCTAATTCTATACATAGCGCATATGGTTGCCATACAATCACTCTACATCAGTATTAATAATGCAGAGTATGATAGAAAGAGTGATCATTTTTACGTTGCGTTATGGAAATAATTATTTATAGTTATAACATGGAACGAATATGTAAACACAGTAACCTTTACAGTGTATACCATAGCAACCACATACATAATTTATAGAAACACAAAAAGTAGTTAGTGAATTTACAATACACATGGATTATGGTGTATATTGAAAATAAGAAGAAATCAACTATTCAATCGATAGGTCACTTTAATGACAACGTGCTGAGAGTTTTGGCATAGTTATCTCGCTCCAGAAGATAGGTTGTTTAAATAGCAGCATGTACTTTAGAGGTGTTGCAATCATGACAATAAATCACAGTCTTATTGCCGTCACAGTTATCTGATAATAGGAATCGTTGTTCTAGCTAAAGTCTCAAAGAAACAGACTGAAACTCACTGTTATCACAAAGAATGACAAAATAAAACGTTTTCACGTTTTTGCATGAGTGAACAGTCTTGTGCAACATAGCCTCGCAACAACTGATAACTATATATCTTAATAGTCTTTATTCAATACAGCCAGATACGGTTGTAAAATATCCCTACAGTTTCACTGCTCTTCATAGTATTCAAGTATTTTAAAAGCCAGTTGCAGGAATTCATGTCAATTTTACTAATAACATGCATAAGCCTTACAAAATTCCACTATTCCTGAACTGCATTGTTGAGCCACCAACATCTACAAAATTTGATAATACAATGAATGAATGACACATTTTACACCCCTACAAAACGATAGCACTTTCTTTGTCCATTGTTATGGTTTGTTACAAAAATTGCCCAAGATACATAAATGCTCTCCATGAAAATTCTAAAACTGTAATACTTATTGTATATTTATTTTTCCTTCTTATCCAAAAAGGATTAGATACAATCCCTTCCTCAAGTAGCAACACCAATCAGCATATAAACAACCATAACGCATGTTTAAAAAACCTGTGTCTAGCCTGGCATACATATAGTGCTGGTGCTTGAAGAATTTTCAGCATTTTTCTATTCTCGCTTTTGGATTAGTGACTAGGATGCCGTGCCTTACTCCAAAACATTACATATTTCCACTTATTATATATTTGAAAAAGGAATAATCTGACATTCCGTTATACACTAGCACTTTCATCTTGATAGAATCTTCAGATCTGAATCTGTGTATAATGGAATGTTGGATTATTCTTTTTTCAAATATTAACAACTGAATATCTTGAAACCCAATAACTTTTCTACTATATATATATAATATACATACTGCCAATGACCCCTGAATGCATAATATATACTATAGTAATATGTAAATATCTCGTAGTTTCAGTTTCCACCTTTTTAGTAGGTGGCAGTGAGCTTACAGTATTACCACAGAGTAAATATGTATAAATAGGGATCTATGAATTTCATAAGCTAGTGCCACCTAGCAACCAAGAAAAACCAAACGAAAAAGAGGAACGATAGACAAGTAAAACGAGTCCCTGCAACAGTGCAGCAGTACAGAACTTGATAAGGGATACACGGGTAACACGGATACCAGCTTAGGAACATTGTAGGCAAATATGGATTGTCTCATTGTGATGGTAGGAATGCTAATTATGATGAAATTTGTTAATTGTAAAAAATCATGAAGATAACATGAGGAAATTGAATAGAAGCAACAACCTGAATATCACATTTAACCATTTTACTAATTTTACACTTTAAAAAATGCATTGGCATGTCTTACTATAGTGTGTAGTGTTTATAATAGGGATAACCAGAATTATCGAGTAAATACCTATACTAAACAAAATTTAAATTCCAATACTTGACAGAATATTAAATTACTTCTTAGACTTAATCATTTAGCGTAAAGATAAGCATTTATGATTGATAGGCAAAACGTTTTCACATCCATGAGTAAGAGTTGCAGAAACATAACTCACATACCAAGCAACCACTTTATTCTTCTCCCGTGCATTTTATATCTGCAAAATATTAAAGACAATACAAAGTATGATTCTATTGTACTATGCAGGTGGGAAATTTAATGTGAAATATTAGAAGATTTCAAGTTTTTGGTTTTTTAACAATGTACAATGACACTTAGCAAGCATGACACAACATATTAAATAAATCTGTCTTTTCTAAACGTACCATTCTGTACATAGACTTATAAATATTCTCACATTCTCAAAACGAATTTTTCAACAGGTGTGAATAATCAATCATTAAAAACAACAACACAGATCAAACACATTCATCTGTTTAGACTTTATGATAAATCAATCAGAGTATGATAGTTACTAATAATACACACGAGAATCAAATTTACATAGATGTAATAATGAATTTTGTTTTTCATCTGGGATGACAGGATAGCAGAAAAGACAGGCAGTCAACAACTGCATTATCATTATGCAATCACAATGCATTTTGTAAGGGATGGACAAATAATCGATCATGTCCTTATAATTTTTTTGATATCAATTTCAAAAAAGCTCTACATTTGTCATTTGAAATAGGGTGTAGTAGTAACACTTTGCACTACATGTCGCTATACTTCTAGAGTAGTGAGGTCATAGTGTCGGGCAAGAGGAACTTTTGTGCTACTACATGGAAATTCACGCAGCAGACACGCAGGAGGGATGATTACAATAATGTCACCATCAGTGCTCAACATCAACTGTCACTGTCAACTCACACTGTCAAGTGTCACTGTCATCATATGACCATCAGACTTCACTGCTAATAGGCACAATTAACAATCATCACTGACACTCAGAATCAACTGTCACAATCAAGATCAGCTGCTGTGGCAGATTCCGTTTTTAAGCAAAGGCTACAAAACCAACACGCCCCATGTCAGTAAATAACGTATTTCAACCAATGACACTGGACAACAATGGTAATGATCGCCGTTCTTTTCACTCACCCTTATCCTACCACTCCGTGCAACTCAGCCTGCGTGTCTATCCTCGTTATGCATCAGGGACACATTCAATCACACTGAGAATCCCAGTACGTGATCGCCTAATCCCATGAACAAATAGCAGATAACCCACCAAAAACATAAGTGCAAAACTCTCACATCAGGGGCGAGGTGAGAAAACTGCACACTACTGCAGGTTACGCGTCGGCTACGCTCCATACAGGTAGGTCAGTTTGTCACAGGAGGCTGTTGCGTACTTCTTCGCCTTCTCATACATCTTGGCATCCCCAAAGCTTCTTGCTCGCCATAACAAAGTTTCTCCTGCACAAGCAAAACAAGCAGCTACTGTAACTGAGTGGAAGGTCGTGCCATTACTGGGACAGTGAGGCCACTGTGCATTAGAAAGCCACTATAACAAGATGTTCTGTAATGTGAATGACTACAGAGTTTGTAAATCTAGCCCTGTTACAGACTTTATATACATGTACGAAAAGGCTCAACAAATTTTTTCCATGCGAGATCAAATACGACATGCATGACATACCACTTAATCCACATTTATAATATTTCATCACATTGTAAACCTGCACTGTGGCTGTCGTGAACTAAAGTCTAGAGAGCTATATAATTCACTTACTGTAGTTTCTTTCCTTGTAACAGTTAGTTCGCAGACTATCTACATAATCACTCTCAACGTTCTGCTCCACTTTCTTCAACAGCGATAGAGTGTTATAGTCTTTAGTAAAAGAGTCTTTTACGTAGTAAAACACGCCAAGGTTTTGCGTTTTCCTCTCCTGGATAAATTTTCTGTAATGTATAAATATATTTTAGTTGCTTTAATTCACGGCCAGTTCCTTACAAAAAATAGAACTAGGTATATTTAATAATCCAGTAAAATTCATTTCAGTCGCACAACCGGACAGATTCTACATTACTTAGTATAGAGCTGAAATCCTAAACCTATTAGACTTCATCATCAAACTGTCCATTTATAATGTCATGTTTAAAGACAGACTGCAGCTAAAATCGACACGGATTGTATGGCTGTATCACATTACTAAAATATCTGCTTAGTAAAATGTGAAAATGTAATTTCTTAGCATGCAAATGCTACTAGTGGACGAACAAGATGAGCTATTGGTATATTACCCATCGCGACGCAGGCTATAGATGGGATCAGCAGCAAAGTAGCTACTGACGAGTGTCAGGCACACGAGCAGCAATATTGGCATCAACTGTATCATTACCGACACTGTCTGCTCAGAGTAGAAACCAAAAAAAACATGCACATATATAGTGACACACAAGAAGGTATTTTTTCTCATTTTTGCTAACCATAAACAGATACATTATAGAATAATCACTGTTTGCCTGGAACAGAATACAGCGAAGTCAACATGAAAGGGTTGTTTCAATGAATCACTATACCAAGTTACCAACTATACTTTTATCTAACAATTATTGATACTGGACACATAAAACTGGCATAAGATTACCTTGATTTACTCACTACAATGCCCCTACCCTTATTAGCCTAACTAATGAGTACTTGCACATTTCAAACCCTGGATTTGACCCTCTGAAACTAACCTCTGCAGACTGCTGTTGCTGATGGTTATGATTGTGATGTGTATGATGCCTCGTGTGCGTGTTTCTCCTGGAATATGTATGTACATTGCCTGAAAAAAACAGCAAAATAGATTGCATGTCACAAGCAAGAATATACAGGCACCACACAAAATCCCATGAAAACAAGCAAATTAAAACCATTTCCAATCAACCACTCCATTCATTATACATCAGCATGACGTGGCCGAAAATCTACTAAAATAAGATCATTTTCTTTAAAGACAGGCATCATATTCTAATTAAGGCAATAACTACGTTAAACTACCTCACCTGTAGGAAATCCCCCACCAAAGAACATGTTGAACAATTCCTCTGCAGATATGTCCCCTGGAACAGATTAAGAACAACAAGTAATGAAACCCATATTTCTGATAATATATGTATGAAATTAATATCACTGTTAATAACATGCTTCTGGTTAGTTTGTTGCTATTACTGGCACTTTGCGTGACCAGACAATTGTATGAAATATTAAAAGCATGTTTGAAAAATATTGCAGTTTTACTGGGATATCAAATATTATATGAGACTGATGATTATATTATGTACACTTATATGTGACAGAAACCATTTAATATTTGACTGTTAGTTAGAAATGCATATATGGCATGCACATAAAATACTTAAAATACAAAGTTTACCTTCAAACCCCCTGCTGAAGTCAAATTCATATTCTGGATGCCTACTGTGGGTTCGCCTGCTAGTCGTGGCTACATTATCCTCTGCACCATACAAATCATAGCGCCTGCGCTTCTCTGGATCACTGATCACAGCAAATGCATTTCCTATTGCTGAAAATCAATAATTACTTATCAGGAGTACTCAACAGGAAAGACTGGTATGGAGTATAAACAAATGCCAGGTTAACAAGAGAATTTTAAATACTACAGTACTAAAAGTTTGAGCTGTAAGCTCCTACGCATAGTCAACATTCACATACACCAACCATTAATGTAGCAGCTTTGAAATACCTTTAAATGCTTCTGTTGCTCCAGGTGCTTTGTTCTTATCTGGATGGTTTTGCAGAGCCAACTTTCTATATGCCTTCTTTAAGTCTGCATCGCTACAGTCTTTTGATAAGCCAAGAATTTCATAATAATCTTTACATTTCCTTATTCTGAAAAGCAAAATATTACTTAACAAACATAAAACTCTAGCAGACAGCATTATCTTCATATTACTTACCAGTATTACCAAGCAGACGTATAATTACTTTATATTCGTCCATTTCGACACCCTGACATCTGAATACAAGCACACAAACATTTACACACACAACACCTTTTAACAGTATGTAGTTGTTCCTGTGTATAGGATTCTCCCTCGTGGTCCGAATGTGAGCCATGATTGGCAGCCTTTGATCTGTTGCGTGAACCTGATCTATTTCTACGATTACGGATGTCATTATCGGCTGTATGACTGCCAGCCGAACCATTCATCGTGTGTAGGCTGTTCAGCAAATCTGCAACCAAGTGATTGTCACAAAACATTCTAAATAAGGTTCTCCCGAGAAATTTCAGAAGACATGTCAGGCAACAAGGCTACTATTATCCCTCATTGCTAATTGAAATCAACTATGCATGCCATAATGCAGTCTCAATAGAAAGGTAATCTCGGTCTGTTCAAAGACTGACACATCAAGCTGTGAAAAGACTAGTATCACTGTGTTGGGATTGTCAAAGGTAAACACAGCTTAAAATTAAAGCATGTCGGACCTCTTATAGGATGTCACAACTAAGCTTCCCCTTTGAAAGCATGTTGGACCCGACATGCACTAAAAGCCTGCTAAATATGCTTAGGAACATGGAAAGGAATAAGTCTTTTAACCTGACCCATACACTATTTATTAGTGATGGGAATCGGCTGGAATTTAATAATCGATTATCGGTTTCCCTTAACTGATCGATAATCGATTATAATCGGATAATCGGTTAATAATAGCATCGATTTAATTTAATCTTACTTTGTATATACAATTATACATAGCATTCAATATTATCATGTTTTATGATCATGTATTAACTCTGTGAAGGTTGCTGTATGTATATCAATGTCTGTTCCTATACAGTATTTAATCAATTGAAAAAGAAATGGTTTATATGCATTTATTAAAACATTAAAAGTTTTAAACAAACATGATCAAGACTTGTTCTTTATTATAGTAAGTAAGTTGTTTGTGTTCTAATAGTGTAGGCTGTGTAGCCGAGTTAATATATGTCCCGCCAATGGAATATCCTCTCCAACACAATGTAACAAACAATACGGAGACTCTCGTAGCATTAACATTAGTCGTAAGTGTTATCGTAGCATTAACATTAGCATTAACTAGTGTTGTCAATCGGTTGTAATTTCGTAATCGATCATCGGTTGGACCCAAGTAACCGATGATCGGTTACAATCGGTTACTCGGGGTGTTGAATGCCTGCGTGTGCGTAACATCGTGTGCATGTACGTGTGTGCATGTATGTGCAGTGGCTGTTTAGCGGCTGTTTACTGTTTGTTTTGCACTGTTTACTACTGTGTGTTATAATACATGTATGTTAATTAAAGGATAACTTGTTATACTAGGGCGATGATATCTCTGATGTCTCATCACTTTTTTCTAATTTTTTTTTTTCGGATTTTTTTTTTTCCTGGATGATATGCGATTATTGGGGATTTTGATAACCAAGCGCTTGGTTTCGAGCCACTGTTCAACGGCGATGATCGAGTATGAATCGATGATTCGTGACATCACTAGGGCATTAACTTTCAGCGATGTTTCTGACAACCGGGCCCCCCCCTTGAAGGACTTGTGCTCTACTTGTGCATTCAATTGCACACATGCATGAGTACAGTTCTCTTGTTTATTTGTTTTTTTATAATTCGATTATAGAATTGAGCTATAATCGATCGATTTTTCGATTAATAATGCGATCATCGGACAGTCACTACTATTTATACATCAATATTGGCATTTAAGTTAGCGACGACATCCGGTATAGCGCCTGTGATAACCAGGGAAGTTTAGAAAAGCCAGAACCAGAATGACTTGACAAAGTTAAAATTTGTATCCCTACAGTAATATTACCATAGTACTGTGGTGAACAATATTCGAAAACTACGATGTTGTACGAATCATATAGAAAGAAAAGTGTACCACATCAAAATTCAACAAGGCAAGGGGTTATAGTATCTAAGCCTACCTCCGGGCAGCGCCACCTAAAACAACCAGAGCGAATTAAAGGGGGGGGGGGGGGGGGGGGGGGGGTGGACCCTGCGAGCAGTGGGTGGGTGTAGGGTATACTGTCAGGCCAATAGGAAGGGCATGGCAGGTTCTTTTTTCCTGTATTTCTTATGACATTACTACTAGCTTAGTACTAGTCAGCAGGGCATGCTTGAAGCGTTTCAATAAAATATAATTGCTAAACAAGTGCGCAGAGCGCAGGCGCTACATGCTGACGGCAGGTGTTCTGATGGCTAAACTCAACGGGCAACGAAATGACGAGCCCCCCATCACCGCGTTCGCAGCTGCAAGAGCATATATCTAGGATCTACTAATACCAAGGGTTCGACACTAACGCTAGTCGTTAGTCGAGACTAGTAAAAAATCAGAAGGACTTAGTCGATTCCCATAGCAGTTAGTGGCCGGCGGGACTAGTTTATATTTTCCCCGTCCCTCACGCGGTCCCAACTTTCGCGCATCGTTTTACCGGGCGGCAGCGTCTCTCATATCCAGATCCAAAGAGGCTATATATATAATGCGTCCCATTGTAACAAGTTTTCCTGTTAGACCGGCGCTAGTACAACGAGAGTAACGGCTACAGCGGCTCTAAGGCATGCTCCTAGAGACCTACGGTAGTACATAACATTGTTAAACAATGGGGCCAGCGAAGCGGCCAGTCTACTGATGGAGTCGCTTGACAGTTAGCTGTTGACATAGAAAAACAAAGGTCTGATTGTAGAAATGACGCATAATGCAGTTATGTACGCTCTCATAGTGAGGTATTTACATACAACACATCGCATGCGTGTGTTAGCTTGAAGCAGTCATACAAATAGTAGTGAAGCTAATAGTAGGTACATCATTATCCAATGAGTATAACACTCTAACATCAAGGTTGTTTTGTGGAATTATTTGGAACAGCAACTCGGCCTGCACGCTCCCAAACGTAAATGCGCAGGAAGGAGAAAATAGATGGGCGCAGCGTGTCTATGAAGACGAAAAGGATGCGTGGCGTTGTCAGCCTACGTGGAAATCGTTCATCCCGTGGCTAGAGTATGGCCGGGCCGCCAAGGGGTATGACTGTGGTGCAGCTGTAATGTCTGGGCAGTTTTTTCACTCGGCACTACAAAACTATCGTTTTGAAACTGTTAAAGCGGCATGAGCTTCCGAGGGGCACAGAAAGATCCTCAGGCACAGAAATGCAAGGACATGCCTATTCAGACGAAACGTGGGGGCGCGGCAAGTGACGGCCAGACTGAGATTGAAATGGTGTGCTGCGATCAAGAGGTGACTGAAAGTGCGACACTGCACTGCACACCGGGCACGTGTAACGTGCACACGCATGCACAACGTGTAGCGTGCACCGCCGCACACAGCCCGCGGACGTACGTGCACACGCACCCACGCACGACGGCATCGTGTACGTGCACGCACGCCGCGCACACACGTGTACGTGCACACTGAACCACGGACTACACGTGTACGTGCCGACGGCGCACAGTGTACGTGCAGCATGGCTCTCTGCGAGGCACGTGTGTGCACACGCAGCCCACGGCACGACACGTGTGACGAGCCGACGTAGCAGCACGTGTACATGCACATGCACGCACGGCACGTGTACTGTACAGCACACACGCCGCACGTGTTACGTGGCACACGCACGTGGCACGAGCGCAGCGCACACACACACACGAGCACACACACACATACAGCACACACACACACACGACGACACGCAACACACAACGCACACACACAAGGCACACGACGTGTACGTGGGCCTGATGCACGCAGCGGCACGTGTTACGTGGCAGCCATCGCATCACGCAGCACGACGTGTACGTGGCCAACGCACAACGGTAAGCACGTGTACGTGCACGGACTCACCACGCCCACGACGTGTAAGTGCGCGGACCGCACAGCACACACGTGTAGCGTGCAAACGCAGGGACGCGCACACTACGTGTACATGCCTATGCACGCACCGGCCACACTGTCCAGTGCCCACGCACTGTGTACGTGCACGACGCCGCACGCACGTGTACGTGTACGTGCAGATCAGTTTTTCCTCACAGATGTCTTTTGCAACCTCTACTTTGCAAACTCTGTATTTCAATGCATTTACGGTTTTCTTTCGTAACTAGACCATTGTTTAGCAGTGATACGTACAGTGCACAGCGCGCTCACTCTATCCAGCGATTAGTAAATGCGAAACGAGGTTGCCCATTAGAATGGCACATGCTATTGAAAAAAGCTGCAGCCCTACAGCGCAATTCGTCAACTGTGCGCAGCTTGACAAGGCCAAGGGTTTGACTGTCGCAGCACTTACCTTACGACAAGGCCTGCCAGAGAGGTTCATTAGCGGCGTAGCGCGATACAAGGCGCGCGGGAACAGTTTGTAGCTTAATGAGGCCAAATTCTTTGCTGTGATAAGTGCGGATGCCACAGATTCCGCTCATCAAAGGAGGCCGCTTTTATTTTATTTTAAATTTTAATCTTATGATCCATATCGAAAATCATGTATTTAATACAATTGAATGTCTTTTTAAAAACCTTTTTGAGGGACACCTTGTAACGCCTGGGAGAGACCCCCTGTACCCTAGCAGAAGGGGGACCTGCGCACCCCTCCTACGCCACCTACCTGCCTGGCAATCAGGCAATACTGCGCTCTGTGGCCTAGTAAGAGTCGTTCGCAGGACTAGTAGAATGTTGGAAGGACTAGTACATTTTTTCTTTTACTAGTCGCTGTGGACTAATGAATTAAAATGGTGTAGTGTCTACCGCTGAATAGCAGATCTATAAATCTATGATAGGCTAGGCTTTTGCTATACCGGTAGTACAGTAATACAGATCAGCTGTGTAACTTTAATGATTCGGGCTATATAAGATGTCATCATGATATGCATGCAGCGGCGAGCCGTAGTGGTGGTGGTGGAGAGTGGGAGGGGGCAGGTGGAAGGGGCTCTAATAGCAAAAGAAAAGTTGCCGCGAGATTGGCGCGTGCAGTGTCATCATAATCAAGATGGCATCAGCCCTTCGTGGCGTGAATAGACTGCATCCAGTGAGTTGCTGGAAATCCAAGTATATTCAGGCAGGGCAAGAGATTTCGCTCAGCTGGTGAGTTAAACACATCTGGCAGTTTGTAGGTTACGCAGGCAATAATTATGATTAGAATAGTGCCTAGTTCGAACAGGGCCGCATGCATGCGTAATGGGGCTGCCCCATGCTTTTGGGGGCCTACACACGCGATCATTCAG